TCGGTCAAATATGACCAATCTGTCATATTTGTCAACTAAATCAGATGATCGCCGCAGTTACAGATCACGGCTTCATCGGTTAATGCATGTGCTCTAACATATGCATCATTAACTAATTCCCTACGAATGGAGGACATAATGCAATGAAATAAAATTTATTCAAAAAAGAAAGTTTAACGGGAATAAAACTCTGTGTTTTATTCCAAATAGATTATGATCGACACTATCGTTCTAAAGTAAAGATCACATGATTTTGTTCAACGTGACTAATACTGCGGAAGGCGCAGTCATTGTCATTGCATAAATGAGCACTTTAAACCAATTGGAATATTATACTATTTTTCGAGAAATATATTTCAAACTCTATCGTACTAGGGATTGGAATCGATTCTACCAAAACCGAATTGATCGCAAAAATACGAATATATATAACTGATAGTACAATATTTAAAGATTTAGAAAATATTAGCGGAATGATCAAGAAAAATACAGAAAATGTCGATAAACCAAATAAACCAAATAAAGTCTATCCTATGCCATCCAAAGCGAGCAAACCTAAAGGTGAAGGAATAAATAAGAATAACCATATTAAAAGAACAAAAACGGAAAATAAAAAATTTATTGCTGTATGATTCATAAAAAAACATTATGATATGGAAATTTTTGCATAATTTTGTGAATTATTCAAATTTTGAACTTAAAATACGATAGATATTGGGATTAGAATTGATTCAAAATAATGAAATCGATTAATCGTTTCAGTGTATTGGTTAATGGTTCAAAGATTCGGTTTATGTATCGATAATCGATTATATTTACGACGCTTCGATTTTCTGATTATAATTTTAACGCGAGCAATCACCAAAAATACTTATTTATTAAAAAAGGACTTGCCAAGAAAAATTATATTAATAAAAAATTTGCGAATGTTCGGAAGTACGAAAAATGTGTAACAATAGACTTCAAAAACGTTAAGAACTTACATTAATTCCAAGATAATATTCTCTTAGTCGCTCCTTTATCTAGAGAAGAATTACCACTAAAACTAATCGACATTCATTAGTCCTAGTGTCTACATTAAATTTAATTATATTAATCATAAACGAATATGGCTCTTATTTAAGTAAACATTTTTTAAGTGAATTGAATTTTTTCGAAAAAGCTTTATAAAATGCCTCGTAAACTCTCATTCAACTAGACTTTAACTTTTGATGTAGCTGCAAACTTAGATATTCAGGAGTACTGCGAACAAAAAGCAATTTGGCATTTACAAAATCGTTTCTGGATATGCAAGACTTTCGTGACATACTGTATAGTCTGAATAAGGCTTTTCATGAGTTAGAGAAAGCGATTGGATATTTCAGATCAGACCTTTTTTAAATATTTTTATAAAATAAAAGTAATTAAGAATTCAAGCCAAATTAAGTTACAGACGATTGTTTGGTTGGTTATCCAAAAACTCGTTGATCAATGTGATAAATTTCGTAATGTTTAGACGTCTTCCGGACATTTTCGTTAGATTTTTTAAGAAACACATGTTAAAAATGTACTGTCTTGGGCCTAATGACTTTGACCTTATTATCAGAGAAAAGATTATGCTCTACTAAGACCAATGATATTTTAACGTTATCCGAAAATTTGAGATGAATTCTCATTTTTTTTATCGATTTCCCAACAATTTTATGTAGGGATAATGACTATTTTTGGTAGAAAATTTATTCATCATTTCCAGAAAAGTTGTATTATCCATCTTGGGTAATGATAACTCTTTTTGATAAAGCACTGCAACAAAATTCCCAGATCGTCAAACCACATTTTCTTCCAAAACATGGCAATAAAAGCGTTGATTTGTTATTCTGAAAGTAAGCTATAATCATCACTTTTAATATTATTATCATCATCATGGTCTGGTAATAAATTTATTCATGAAAGTGAAATACAGAACTATCCTCATACTATGCAAAATATTTTAATAATCTATGAGCTGATTTGTTTTTTATGAATAAGGTTGAAATAATACGGAATCGCTGAATTATGACTGTCATTTCCGATCGTTCAGATTTTTGATCATATAGTTCATTAACCAATACTAAAATTGATATTATTTACTTTATTGGTCAAGGTTTAAGATTTTTAAAGTGAATCACATACTTTTTCTACAACAATATATTTTTGATCAATGTGTATTAAATGTTATGGCTTCTTAAAATATCATCTTTTAATTTCTTGGGAAATATTTCATCATTAAGTTCAACTTTGTTGAAATATCCATCAAAAATAAATATAAACCTAATCAATGGTATAATTAAACTTGAAAATTTTTTCTAAAAACTCAAATTCAATTCTTCACGCACGTCTCACTCGGAAACATTTTGTTGAAAAATGTATTCCTGTGACGGACGCTTTCCATTTAACCAAATTTCCCCAAATTTCTATCAAATTTAATTTGAGTATAACATCTTCTAATAGAATGATGATTTTTAAGCTTAAATTATGTATACTCTATTACATTATGTAAAAATTCAGTTAAATCATTTAACTTTAAATCATCAGAATCGATTACAAGATTTAGAATTAAACTTTAAAGCAAATATTTTATCGCAAGCAAATATCTTTTTGATAATAAATTCATTGATATATTTAATTTTCAATAACTATAAAAGCTTGTGGAGTAATCTTCGGCCTTTAAACCTATACAAAATATTTGAAAATATATAATTAAGAGAACTTTGCTTTCTCAAATACTAGTAGAGAAGTACAATTTAGACTATTGCGGCTTTTTTAATTAATGTCTTAATCTTTAGCAGGTCTTTTAATTTTTCCCTTTCCCTGAATTCGGCAACCGTCCTTTCAAATTTATTACCAATTGATTCCTCAATGTTTTGCTTTTCAATTTTAGCATAATTTAACTATGGCTGCAATTTGTAAAAAAAAATTAAATCATTTTTGAATTTAGCCTAACAGTATTTTATAATGTCAAAAATGTTATTTGAAAATCAATTAAATCTAGTAAGTGCGTAGGAGTAATCCTTTTCTTTAAAAAAAAAATATTTGAATGATCTTACCTATTAAATAAAAAATACTACAAAAAATTTGATCGAAAGTAATCAAAAATAAAAAATTAATCTGATATTAATAAAAAACACACATCGAAGCCAAATAATATAATTTAAAACATTAATGAAAAAACAAAATAAAATTAAAAAATATATACTGCGTACATCCAAGAAACAAAAAAATTAAGAAAAAAAAATATTCTCGAACTTACGAAATAATCGAACCTAAAAAGTAGTAATAAAAAATTATTCCGGAATCTATAAACCATTTACCTAATTATTATAAATATAAATTGTAAATTTTTTTTGATAAATTATAATATTTCTTCATGATATAAATTTATTTTATGTAGCATGATTGGTTTCAATAATTTTATATAATCATAGGACAGAATATTATTCATAGGTTTTTTTTTTCTAATAATATATTATAATTTTTAGGATGCCAAGTTAATCTCTTTAATTTTAATAGAAAGAATTTTCATTTAATCAGTTTTTGTCGGAAATGTACCAGTACAAGCAATTCATGCAATGTAAATAAATTTTTGGTATTACTCGCATTCAATTTATGATTAAAAAAAAGTCGCTAAGCAGCAAATGAATCGATTAATCAACTCTTAGAATCAAAACTCGCGAAATTAGTGTTGCAATCAGTTCTTTAATGTTTATATTTGTACAATATAGCAGAAGGATTTTTAATTATGTAATATTTATGCAAAAATTTTTAATAAAAATTAAGTCACAAAAATTGAAGAATGGTTGTATTAACAATTTTTATATTATTTTTTTTTTTTGACTAATATACGAACTATCAGATTTATCCAACAAAATCAAGAGAATTTTTATTTTATTGATATTTTTAACGCGCAATCTTAGGACAAAAATCTATTATATCATCTATTAAAATTTTTTTTTTAACCGACTTATCTGACAAAATCTATTACATCATATCATGCATTTCTATTACATCAATGTATCCCTTTTTTAAAAGTTTTAGGATGAAATCTTTGTTATCTAAAACTGCGGTTCATAACAAAAATATTTTCTCGCGAAAATATTTTTTTTTATATAGATATCTAGCTTTAAAATACAATAGCCCTTTTCGTAATATTACATTTATTTGTATCTAACAAAGATTTCTCGTAATATTATTCATCATCTGACTGAAAAGCTATCATACAGAAGGTGCAAAAACAATTTTTTTTTCTTTTACGTATTCATCACAGTATTAATTACCCAACTATTAAACTTTATCTTTTTTTTTAGATTAGCGTTATAAACGACCCAAAATTCAACGTTATCTACTAGAACTTTTTACTCTCTACCCTTGCAAGAAATGTTTGTCAACCTCCGTTAAAGTTGTAATGGCGGCAGGATAATATCAACGAAAATGACAATGTAGATTAAAAATTTTTTTTAAAATAATAATGGTATGTATCTTATTTATATGTTGTATGTTTTAACATCGTCATGATAGAAATGGAAAACAACGTCCAATTTATATATATTTGGATTCTTCATTTACATAATATTTTACTGATTTATAAAAGTATTTTATGGGATTATTTTGCCATGAAAGTCAATTATTTTAAATAAAATAAACATTTAAAATTTTCACATTTTTCTTGTTTAAAAAGATATTAGGCACTAATCGGTTACTGTCTGATTAAAAAAAAGGTGATTTTTTTATAAAAAACAAAAAAACAAATAAAACAAAGTACGTTCCTATTTTCGCATATCTTTATAAGGGCTGTTTTAATATAATTGGTTGATAACTTAACTTTTTACCTTTTTTTTAAGATTATTCTAAGCATTTTAGTCAAAAATTACAATGCCCCAGGAGCGGTGTCAAGAAGATAACCAATGCTATAATCATTTTTTGAATGTGCGACCGTACTCCTAACTTTGTTGTTGGTAATGCTTCTGAAGGAAGAACTGGCTGTGTACCTTCTATACCATTAAATAAAAAATTTTGACAATATACTAATAATAACTTGCTCATGACAGGTAAATGAACGTTCACAACATAAGAAAGATATGCAAAAGTTCTGGAAGGGGGCAATCAAAGAACGTGAAAAAGAAAATCAACTTGCCATCTGGTAAGTAATGTTTAATATTCGTTAATAATGTATTGTATTAAATACCCTGCTTGTTTCACATTTATTTTGCTCAATAATTATTAGAATCTAGGAAAAAAGGGAAGAAACGAAGACTTACCGAGCTGGAGTTATCAGCAATACCTCCACCAATATATTATCCTGACTTAGATAAAAGCACTACAACTACTCCATCTCCAGTAAAGAAGTTAACTCTTTATCAATTTGACCTTTATATTAAACTATATCCACGTCCAACTTTTAAAAGTTATGATAAATCATATGATATCTCAAATGAAGAAGCTGTAAGAGGAGCTTTAAAGAACAATGTATTTGATATCTTCATATCATTACAACCAAGGATGCAGACATTTTCTTTCTTAAAAGTTATGTCAATTCATCATATGTCATGTCACAAATATATATAACAAAGTACAAAGTCTGCATCCCTAATTACAACTTCAAGACAACCAATATAGGTATTCTAGCGAATTGCAAAGGAGGATAATGTTATTGGAGAATCTAATTTTAATGCTAAAAAATAATACCAACCTACATTTGATCAGTTAGTCTCCGACTCTGAAAAAATGACTGATTCAATCTTACAAATAAAAAAGAGAAATATCACGTTAGAAATTATTTTTACCAATTGAGAGATTAAAACCCTCTTAGATACTATATTGAATATCTTCATATTAAATGATATCTGCAAACTCTAGTCATGAATTTCCGTTGTTAATATTTATGCTGAATTTTTTGGTATCTAGTTGCCAATTAATTGCAATATAATATGGTATCCTCAAAATGTATAATAATATAGAGACCTAAAAACAAACCACGTGCTCTTTATATCTCTCTTACAATAGAAATAGAATCAAGGAATCCATCAATCTTCCAGTGTTATTCTTATATTCAACATCTGTCTAGATCTGATACTGAATATCCAAGTCTAAAAGAAAAATCACCTTCATCACTATCAATTTTTTATGAAAATGAAACTTTAAAATCCACCTATTAAGAAATCACATAATACATATATATTCGGATGGTCTTTACGGACAATAAATCATTTTAAAAAATACAGGATGCAAATATGAAAAAGCTTTTCGTCAAGTTCTTTATCAGATATACCGTAAACATTCATTTCTTGTATATACTCCTATGCCCAAATGTAAATTATTCCGGTCAAGGTCTCAATTTTTATATAAATAAAATCTATAGTTTATGATAACAATTTTACTATTACTGAATAGGATCAAAAGATCTGTTCTGGAACTAATTCTAATTTTAGCTGCCTGACAATTTTAAAATTGAACCGGAATTAGCTTCGGATTTTATATAAATCATATACCGAATTTTTTGTAACCAATCATAAACATTTCAAATTGACTCGACGCCTTGTTTCAAATAACTATTTGAGAGCTGTGATGCTCATTCATGAAGTTCATAATTAATTACTTTTGAGATTATATAAGTATCCCTTCTGCTTGACATAAGATAATTAAAATATTTAAGATAATTGAGGCCGAAAAATGAATGGTTAGAAAAATATATTAATACTTTATAAAAATGATAAACTCAATCAAAATCTTTTGTTAAATTTTATTTTCAAAATTATTAGCATATTTTAATTTAACAAAATCAGATGATTGAGTTAGTGCTACGTTGTTTATTAATGAGTATTAAACCTAATGACACTTAACAAATATGGTAAAATGGGACATTATTCTATAAATAAATAATGTCTCGAAGGATTTGACTATGTCTTCAAGTAAATACGCGCGCACTCGTACTGCGTTATCTAAAGAATTTGCTATACTTCAATATTATTATTTGAAATTATCATTGAATACATTTATTGTGAAAAGGATGATTTGACGGAATTAAAAGATCCTGATTTATAAGAGCTCTTGTGTTAGTGGATGAACTAACATACAAACTTTAATTCCTCGTATCCAAGTATACTTGACCCTATAGGAACACAAATCTTACAATATGAATTATTCACCGAAGTTTGTAAGATTTGCCTTGAAAAAAATTGTCCGAACCTAAAGTGATATTTGAATCCGATAAATTTTTTGGTTTAAAAGTACCTTTGATGGAATAATTATAAAAAAGGATTTGTAATTGAAATCATTTGGGAATTGAGTCAAACGAAGCACCAAATCCCTGCGATTTCACAAGATTTATCATGAAGTAGGACTTTTGGTAAAGATCTTTCATATTTCATTGGCATTCCAAATATTCAAATTGTTCGTGGATACAAAAATGTATCATTATAAATGTTATTTACTTTTGACTTTCAAAAATTCTTCATGAAATTTATAAATAGCACTTTGAAATTTTAAAACTGATTATAACAGTTTTTGTAGGCATTCAAACTTCAATTGTTAAATTCCAAAATTTATTTCAAATATAATGATTACTATACTATAACATTATGTTTAATATTATGAAATATTAAAATTATAGACTAAGAAACTTTTGTCTAATCTTAACCTGTTCATTTCTTATCCGTGATGTTCCTGTTCCTGTTTATACAAACATCATCAGCTAATGAAATTTCAGGAGCAATTGAGTTGAAATATTACACCTTTTAAGTTCCGGTTTGTGATACGAAAAATCCTGATTGGCTAAATCATTAATATCGCATCGTTTAATGGCATTTTTTTTGCATTTTTAAAAAAATGTCAGTTCGTAATGAAATAGAACTAAATCTTTTAACCTATTGCATTCAAGATTTATTTGAATATGACGAACTATTAGAACTCTTTGATGAAGAGGAATATGAATTTGAAAAACTATGATATATGCCTTATTAACTATTGTACTTCAAACTCGATATATCGAAACACGAATTTATAATGTGCATAATCTCAAGAATGGTTTAAAGAAGTTCTTTCCTATTATGATATTACAAGATTTAAAAAGATTTTTAGAATGACCCCACAAAATTTTTATAAATTACTTTCTCTTATCAAAACACATCCAATTTTTAATACAAATAGTAACAAACAACAGGCT